GCGATGGACTTCAAATCAGGGAAGACTTTTCAGTCAATGCTGTACATTTCAACCAAGGTAAAAGTAATTTTCATGAAGTTTATCTCGCACAGCGGCTCGGATTATTTTGCCAACGTTTTTCAGCACGTGTGGAAATACCACGTGGTGTTGAAATCTATAGTTCACCGAGAATATCGATGTGTAAGAGTATGTAAAATAGGAATAGTCCTGATGGAGTGCACCAGGAGTCCAGCCGTATTCGTGAAAAAGCCGATCGCGCGGCGACGTGCGTGTGTATGTGTGTGCCTGTGTGTGAGCGCGCGCACGTGCCGGGCCTGCGCTGCCTCGCGTGTGTATGTGTGTGTCTGTGTGTGGCGCGCCGCGACGTGTGTGTTCTGGAAAAACAGGTGAGAGGGAAGGGCACTAGGGCTACTAGCGCGCACGCTAGTGGCTTTAGGCTAAACAATAGTCGCTACACGCCCATCCGGATGAGTATAGAGATCCGGTTGACCGACTTAATCCTGCGTGAGACGATCGTAGAGAACTACCATGACACACGCTCATGTGAACCACACGATAACAGTATAGGAACCACAACAGGATGCTGCAGTACAGATAGGATAGCGTGCACGTAAGCTTACCTGAACCACAGAATAGTGTAGATATAGCAGTGTGTGTGTCGCGAATAAAATAGCATGAAAATAAGTATTCTATTCGTCCAACCAAACATCCACCCACCATCTTTCCTTCCATTCATATATCCATCCATCCATCAAGACCAATACATCCATTTCATCCCCCCACTCCACTTTATCCACCCCCCCCCCCCCCCCCCCCCCCCCCCCCCCCCCCTGCGACGCAATATATGATGGTATGGATGGATGGATGGCATGGATGGATGGATGGATGGATGGATGGATGGATGGGATGGTGGTAGATAGATATGATGGATCGGATTGGAGTGGATAGATAGATAGAAAGATACGATAATGGATCAGACTTATATAGATAGATAGATGGAATAGATAGATAGGATAGATGCGATAGCATAGTGGATAGATAGATAGATAGATAGATAGATCAGATAGGATAGATAGATAGATAGATAGTTATATCTGATAGATAGATAAGATAGATAGATAGACGGGCGGGCAAGATCGAGATAGATAGATAGGATAGATAGATAGATAGATCAGATAGATAGATAGTATAGATACGGATAGATAGATAGATAGCATAGATAGATAGAGTAGATAGATAGCATAGATAATAGATGCATATAGATAGATAGATAGATAGATATAGATAGATAGAAAATAGATAGATAATAGATATGAAGATAGATAATAGATTAGATAGCAATAGATAGATAGATAGATAGCATAGATAGAATGTGATGTGGTGAATGTACGAGCGTGACGTGATCGTGATTAATATTATATATAATATATATATATATACTATATATATATATCAGGGGTTAGTAATGAGAAATAATAAGAAATTTGTCATTATTAACCACTGATATATAATATACCTACATTGATTTAGCTGACTCTGTTTCGGGTGAGAGCTCTCTGGTGTTCTCTAACCATCATCCCCATCAGCATACACCAGTAAACGCTGGATACCTGCACTCGCTCTAAAAGCAGTCATCACATGTTTATAGATGCGGCCTGGTAATTGCAATTAGAATTGTTTTAATCAAACATAATATATAGCTCAACGGTTAACACTTCTTTTTTAGACGTAACTACAATGATGGCTGATGCGGCGAACCAAGCGGCGAACCAACCTAGCGTTGCGTCACCACGGCAACCAGAACAACGTGTGGGGCGTCGGGTGATGCTTCTATCAGTGACGCATCTAGTACTGGGACTCATCGCTGTTGTCTCTGGTGCCGCAGCCCTCGTCATCTCTCGTGACTCCACGTCTGCCATCTACGTGGCGGTAAACGCGGGCCTCGTGTGCGGCACTTTATTTATCGTTACCGGCGTGGTCGGCATAGCAACAACGAGACTCCGAACGACGTGCGTCACCGTAGCGTTCATGATCAGCAGCATCTTATCGATCTTATTCGCCATCAGTTTCGCGGCAACTTCAGGGATAAACACGGGCCTGCTCAGCTTGACCAGCGGCCTGTCTGCGGAATCCGATGCAGGTGTGCGTTCCCTCAGAGGTCTGAGCATCTTTATGTTAATCGTAGCCTTAGTCGAGACTATCGTGGCCGTATGGTCTTCCATCGAGTGCTGCGGTAGGGTATGCTGTGGACGTTCAGGGGCATCTAAAGAAGCCGTAGTCGTAGTCTATCAGTACCAGCCGCCAGCCAGTCAGGCTGTCCCGACGTTCCCCGCTACGCCCACCATACCCACCGAGACGCCCGCACAGGTTGTCGGTAGCGAGCTGACGTATGAGGAACCTTACTACGCTAGCATCGGTCCCTCGCAAGGATCTACCGACACAGCCGCCGACCAATCTCCAGCCTTGCCGCCGCGAACCCAGCAGACGATAGATAGCATGCAGGTGCTCTTCATAGAGTTGATTTCTCAGGGAAGGACGGGCGAGCTGCACACGGCAACAGTGCACAATTTACGCGGCACACGCGAGCGCACTCTAGTGGCCGTGAGATGTGCAGCTAAGAAGAAACTGACGAGTAGCGTTGATTCGCACGAGCGTAGCGGCTTCGATCAGGAGCTGCTCACGCTGCAGCGCGTGATCCCGCACGACAACGTCGTCAGTTTACTCGCCTACGCCGAGGACCCTACCAGAGGCCCGCTGCTCATCACCGACTACATGAAACACGGGAGCCTGAAATCGTACCTGAAGAAATTGTCCGAAGTCGGGACGACGTATCAGAATTTGACGATGCTAACGCAGCAACAGGCGGTAGCTTTCGCGTTGGATATAGCGAAGGGCTGCGAACATTTGGCGCGTCTGGGATACCTGCACAGAGACCTGTCGACGCGCAGCGTGCTGATCAATGCCGAGTTGACGTGTAAGCTCAGCAACTTCGGCCTGGCATCAGATGTCGTAGAGTATCGTAAGGCGGTGAAGAGAACGGGTGTCAGAATTCCCGTCCGCTGGATGGCGCCCGAGTCGCTGCAGTCTAACACTTACACGGTAGAGAGCGACGTGTGGTCGTACGGCGTGCTAGTGTGGGAGCTCCTTACACTCGGCGCAACACCGTATCCGGAGTGTCAGACAGCGGCGGAAGCCATAGCGGCGATAAGCAACGGTGAGCTGATGGAGAGACCACCCGGATGTGTGGACGACGTGTACGCCCTCATGCGGGCATGTTGGAAGCGCGAGCCTGAGGAGAGATTTACCTTTCAACAGATTCGGGCGGAGAGCGAGAAGTTGTTGGGATCGTTTAGTGGCTATGCGCTCATCGAGAACAGCTTGGCGCGTGAGAGCGTTGCTAACTCGTACCTCAGTGCAGAACATATAGAAGAGCTAATCTAGATGATCGCATCGTGACTTCACTATTTTATTGCAACAGTCGAGGTGACGACGAGACGCGTAAATTGCTTGGTGTTAGCTTCTTTGCATTGACACTGTCTGTTGTCTGGAGGGCCTTATATAAAGCGTTTGAGCGTCTGCTACAATCTCATCGCTTGATAAGAAGCCCTCGCTGTGCTACGCCTGGACATACAACCAGGATGGACAAACATCAACGTTCGGCGTTAAACTAGAGTTGAAGTACAACAACGCCGGAAATGCAGTGACGCTTGACATACAGCTGTAACGAAGCTGTGATGTTACCCGTTTCAAAGTGACTCCAAAGTCCAAGCAGATGTTTTTAGCAAATAGTATTATTGTTTCTCAAAGTTGCGGTGCGCGCGCGTGTGTATTTGTATTTCTGTCTTGGTGTGCGTGTGTGTAAGCTATCGAAAATTTATGCCTGCCAGGCGCTGTTGAGGTATATTGATCACATTGACGTGTAAGATTATATTTTTATATCTATATCAAGTGGCGTTGGTCTGGTGGTCAGCGAAAAGTAGCAGTCGCCCGCTAAGCTAGGGTCAGGGTTAGAGTTAGGGTCAGGGTCAGGGTTAGCGGTAGGTGTAGGGGTAGGGGTAAGAAGGAAGGAGCCTTGACATTTGACATATGACATTTGACCTTTGACATTTGACATTTAGAAGTGCCTATGCCTGAGCGCGTGAGTGTATAGATGTGTGTGTCTAAGTGTGCGTAAGCGTGTGCGTGCGGCAAGCATTGGTAGTAGACATGGCGCTGTTAACTATTGTGAATGGCTAGATAATAAGTGCCAGCAGAGTGGACCACGGCTACTACTACTGGTCGGCTGCTACGAGGCTCCCACCTGCGCAGCCAGCAAATCACGGGCCTTTCAGCAACCGACCAATCAGAAGCTTCGTAGCAGCCGACCAATCAGGGGCCTTGTAGCAGCCGACCAATCAGGGGTGTCGTAGCAACCAGCCAACCAGGAGCCACCTATGAACCGACCAATCAGGGGCCTTGTAGCAGCCGACCAATCAGGGGTGTTGTAGCAACCAGCCAATCAGGGGCCTCCTAGCAGCCGAATAATCAGGAGCCTTGTAGCAGCCGACCATCATATATATATATATATATAAGTATTACTATATATGATTAATTAATAATGCAATATATATATATATATACATATAGGTGAAGTCACGATGCGATCATCCTAGATTTAGATCTTCTATAATGTTCTGCACTGAGAGTACGAGGTGAGCAACTCTTCTCACGGCCAGCCAAGCTGCTTCTTCGATGGGCATAGCCCTAAAACGATCGACCAACAACTCTCGCTCTCGCCCGAATCTCGCTTGAAAGCGTAATTCTCCCATCAGGCTCGCGCTTCCAAACATACCCGCATGAGGGCGTACAAGTCGTCCACAATCCGGGTTGGGTCTCTCCATGCAGCTCACCGATTGCTTATCGACCCGCTATTGCTTACCAGCCGACCTGTAACTGAACACTACACGAGATACGGTGTTGGCCGAGTGTAAGGATGCTCCACACACTAGCACGCCGTTAACGACCCACACGTCGCTCTCTTCCAGTGTACAGATGTTAGGACTGCAATGGCGACTCTGGAGTCGCAGCTGACTTGGGATTCTGACACACCGTTCTCATACACGCTTCATTACGATTACTTTTACGACATTTACTCGATGCCAGGCCAAAGTTGCATAGAGATTAACACGCTCAATACCGGGGCATTGATCGCACGCTGCGCGTCGACAGGTCTCTGTTGCAGGGGTATCCCAGAACGCGCGCAAATGTTCGCAGGCCTTCCGCTATATCAACGGCGAAAGCTACAGCTGTTGGCGCGTTAAGCATCGTCATTTCTGGTACTTGTTTTCGATTCGGCACAAGCTTTCTTCAGGTTTCGATTTACAGAGCTCCCGTGTTTCATGTAGTCGGTGGAATGAGCAAGCGGGCCTCTTGTAGGAGTGATCTCCGCAGTGGCGAGTAAACTTGAACGGACGTTGTCCGTGCTGTGGATCACGCGCTGCAGCGTGTAGCAGCTCATCTGATCGAAGCGGCTACGCTCGTCAACGCGGACTTCAAACGCCTATCGTCAGTTTTTTCTGTAGGCTGCCACACTCACTGCCACGTATGAGTGCTCTTTGCTTCAGCGTGTGCCGGGCGTAAGTTGACTGCACTGTTGACCGGTGCAGCTCGCCCGATCCTTCACCTGTGAGAAAATAACTCTCTATGAAGGAGCACCTGAAATGCGTATACTCTAATCGTCTGCTGGGTTCGCCGGAACGGCTAAAGGCTGGAGATTTGGTCGGCGGGCTGTGTCGGTAGATCCTTGCGACGGACGTTATGCTTAGTTCGTTGTAATGGGCTTCTCCTCATAGTTCAGGCCTGCGGCTACGCGACAACCCCTGTGCGGGAGGCGCCTCGGTGGTATGGTGGGGCGGTAGCTGGGAATCACTGACGGGGGCGCAGCCTGACCTTGGGCTGGCGGTAGGCTACTAGTGCATAGACTCGCGCTCATCGGCTCCCTTATTTTCTTTCAGAATGCTCGTGTCCTGAACGTCCACGGCTAACCCTTACACGCAGCACTCGATTTGAAGACCATACCGGATCACGATAGTGCTCGAACTAAGTCTACGATTAAATTAAGACCATGCCTCCAGGCGCTTGAGCGGACGCACACTGATT